ATATTGATGATGAGTAGTGGTCAGTAGTGGAATTCAGGATGCGCATTTAGTTCTGTTTGGGACTGGTCATCTCCATGCACCTACCTTCCAGTGAGCGATATTCTTCTCATTAGGACTCGAACTCGGGGCCAATTGCTGCAAGCGTCACAGCGTTACTTACTAGGTCATCGAGTCACTATCATCACTTCCTGTGTGACAGGTAAAGTGCATATGCTATTAGGGTCAGGTCAATCCGGTCCAGTCAGCGACGGGATAATACAAACAACAACTCAGAAAGTATACCCGTCGTACAAGAAGTGGCCATCGTGAATCTACAGCCTAGTAAATAATACTCTGGTGTTTGTAGAAATCGGTCCCGGGTTTGAGTCTTAGTGGGAACAGCACTGCTCACTGAGAAGCAGCTACATTCAGCTGACGCGTCCTAAATGAGAGAAAACCTGTGTCCTGGATTCCAATGCTAGCCAGCATCCGTCATTAATACTCTTGTAATTATTAAAACAGTCTTGGTACTCATCTTCTAGGACAGTCGTAACAACTACTGTCTGAATGTTAATAATTGATTATTTTATCCTGAATATCTAGGGAATACCTTTTATTTGAATATGAACAAGTTATAGTATACTGATTTTCATAGTAATTAGTCCACTAAAGGTAATATTAAGCACCATTCGAGTCATTGGTGTATATATGTTAGGGGTTCCAGTAATTGTCATGTTAAATGATGAGAATGCACCGATTTGCGGATTGTGGATTAGCGAACATGTAAAACAGTTTGTGTGTATGTGTTTGTGCACTAGAGAGAGAATTTGTGCTCATGCATTCACGCTCATATCTACGGAACACTGATTTTTTTCGATTATACCTAATGGACCATAAACAAACTTCTTTTTATCTTCGGCATTAGCCCTACCCACTCCAACCATTTATTATTTTCTTTATACAAGTGTCCGGTTTCATTTCGTTAATCATTAGTTTATTTTATTATGATTTTCATTTTTATTTATTTATTTTATTCTTTCATTTATTACGGTTACTATTTTTCCCTTACATTCTCAATCAGCTACACACACACACACACACACACACACACACACACACACACACACACACACAGATGAACAAATACATGGAGCGGTGAATTCATTCACTTTCTCCAATCTGTTTTTTAATGCTTTCCTGATTATTATTATTTTTTCTCTTATTGAGTTCAATTAAAGCAGTGAAGCGTATAAAATGTTTTTGACAGGATTCCAGGAATTAAATGGAGGAGAGACAGAGCAAAAAATAATGATAACAATAAAAACAACATCAACAATGGTAGTTGTAGTAGCAATTCGACATCAATTTCCTCTCATCTATTTATTTTTAGCTATTCCCAGTGTTAGTAATGATAGTAAACGAGTATACTGTAGGTAAAGAGCGATAAGTGGTGAGTTGTTCGAAAGGATGGAGTAAGTGAGGGAAGACTGAAGGGATTTATACTACTCACTTATGAATCATTAGTTGTAGAAGAGTCTTCAAATGATCTAGGAGTAACTGAAAAATAAATACTACTGTCATTTTTATTATTACTTGCCACTACTACACTTTACTACTATAATTAATGCTATTGTAGACATAACTGGACTAATGATGGAGGATAGTTGTTTGATAAATAATTTCCTTCAGTTATTATTGCTGTTATTACAGTGACCTTTATTCTCATATAGACAGAAGGCTCATCTCTGTCAACACCGATTTATCCCTAAGGCAATACTGTCCAGTGTGGGTAATAGGATTCATTGATGAAGCATGACAAAAGTTCTAGTGTTCTTCTTGTTACCTTTCCTCTTACGTACTTCAGGGTTCATTTGGAACCCACTTATAGTATTCACTTTCACCAACTCATGGTAGGCAAGTGGAGTAGGTGAGCTTCAATTCTTAGTCTGTGTTAAATCATCCGTACTAAAAAACTCGAACCTGCTTACTTATAAATAAGTTGGTATTTATAAATATATATTTATGCATAGTCTAGGTAGGAAATCAGATGTGGGAGACGGACATCTCAGTTAGTTGCCAGCAATCGGTAGGAAACCCTACTTGACTTGGGTTTTGTATTTGTTGGGATTCGTCAGCAAGGCGTATCTGCAACTTTGAGCAATTGATATCCTCTGTGAGATTCGAACCCGCGTCACCCAGTGCTGCAGTCAGTGGCGTTGCCACTGGGCTAGTCAAGCCACAACTGTCTCCCTGTAGGATTGGATTACATACAGTGATTGGTAACTGGAAGGCAACCAATGTCGTATTGTCCAGTCCTAAGTGCTGACAGAATTCTGTCGATTATTTTTGCAACATGGTCACCAAGTTAGGAAGCTCCTGCCGATTGCCTCCAACCAACTAACATCTATCAAAGTCCACTGCGATGGTGGTCACACTGGGAAATGATCGGCAGGATTCGGTCAGCACTCGACAACATAGAATTGGCTGCTCTCCTGTAACCAATCAACATACGATGAGCATATCTTCTGAGAAGGAAGTAATGCAACTTTCGGGCACCATGGTAGAACGCAATTTCACTCTATGACTACTTGTTTGGTATAACACACATTGATACATAACCCATAATTATGCCGTTGAACTATACCAAACAGCCTGCAACACATGGTTTTTATAATCCTGCCAGCTAATAAATGACGATCAGAAATTTAAATAATATGAATATCCGAAGACCATGATTTTTTATTATCATTTATCTTCATTTTTCTTAAACCATAAGTTCCATTATCAAATTAAAATACTTAATCCTTTAGGAAAAGTTCTCAGTATTACTTTCCATCCCAGGTAGCCAATATTGTTGCTTTTACTGTTGTTCTCGATGTTAGGATAGACTTAGTTCAGTATTGAGCAGCTGTACAGTGGCTTATTTTCTTCTTAATAGCATTATTTAGAAATACTAATATTTATACATCTATGCAACCTACGTAAACCATGCTAGTGGTTAGTAAACTCGTGACTGTAACAATCGACTCAACCAATGAGTCGCAGGTTTGTCAATCGATTTACGAACCTACACTTGTATGTCAAATTGCATCAACGGGTTATACGAAACCTGGGTATGTGGTGCTTGAGACAAGTATTCAGTTATTATCTAAGCGAAAATATTCAGTACAGAATACTTCACTTAATATTCTGGACATTATTAGTTTATATCCCCTTTTGCTTAAAGCACCTACTAGTCTTTTTCATAAACCTTCCCCTTTGTGTACACTCATAACTGTCATATAAACTAGGTTAATGAAGTTTATGTTATTAAAAGCACGAAATCGATAGCACAGGAAGTGTGTTTTTCTCATAACAAACTGTCAGTATAGCCTGGCATAGACTATACTGACTGATTCATTTCGGATAATAGGTTGTTTGTATTTCAGTCGCACTGAAAATATCACAGAAATCAGATGTGAATGATATCGTCCGAAAAGAAGAAAACTAGGATAGGATATTCACTGTAGACTCAAACGCTAGCCACCATGTTTAAGATTATTCTAGATACTCATCAAAAATTTCGCTTCTTATCATTTGTTGGTACTTGTAATTAGCAATATCGAGGCATTCACACAGAAGAACATATGTCAGCAGAGGTCAGTCACTCCCATTCAGCATAACAACAGAGAATTACAAGTGTCAACAAATGATAACAACTAATACTAATTGTTCAGTGGGGCAGCTGTTGTATCTTATTGGCCTAATGGGTAACGCTCTGGGGTTTGAAGCTACAGGTACGGAGGTTGAGTCTCAGTGGGAACAACTGCACTCGCAGGGATGCAGGTTCATGCAGCTGATGGGTCCCAAATAGGAGGAGACGAGCATTCTGGATCCTACTGCTAGCCGCTACCAAGCCAATCATAAATTTCACTTTTTTTAGATAACGTACTACTTTGCACACTAACATCGGCAGAATATATCCGAAGCGACTGTTCCAGGCAGCCCCAATCTCCGGCTTGCTTTTGAAACGTATTTCTTTTTTTGGTGTCATATGCTTGACAGTGATTCTTTTGTCAGAGTACTGAAATTTTTCTAAGGGAATATTTTTCCCCTCATGCACACACGCTTACATTTTCAGTTTGACATATAAATAAATCCTATTCATTCATTAGCATAATAGCAGTAGGATTTTCCCATCTATTCATTTCTGAAACAATATTCCCTTTTTATTTTTTGTTATTTCTTACTGGTGCGTGTTTGTGCATAGGAATATGAAAAAAATGTTGACGGTGTTTTTTTATTGTTGTTGTCGTTGTTGTGTGCTGAACTCCCTTTCTTCTTCTTCAGCTGTTTGTTATGTTTCCTACTGTATGTTGCTTTAACACTAACTCTCTTCCTCTTTTTCCCCTTTCTATCTTTCATTCTCTTAGTATATCCCGTTGACTTTCTCTGCTGCACAAGGGCTTAGATATGTGGGTATGTCCCCGTTTGCCTATGTATTCCTCCTCAATTACACATACCTACACTTTATGCATGTGTGTACATTATTGGAATCCAGTCTATTTGCAATGTACAGGATTCACGTGCACACACATACATGCAAACATAGTCACATCCTTCACTGTACCTTTAAACAGCAATCAGTACAAGTGATGTTTGACACAATCAGGAAATGGACATTGTTTTTGATTCTTTTCCTTTAATTCCTGTATTTTCCTGCAATTTTGACAATTGTGTTTTCGGGATTATTATTACCGTTGATATTATTACTAGTTAGCATAAAATTGAAATACACAGACACAAAAGCTTGTGCGTGTATTCTTTTAGTGATAACAGAAAGGATATGAATATGTGTAGGTATGAACAGAAGTATTTCTAATGTTCCCAACACACACACCTTCACTCCACTGGATAGCTGCACATCTTTCCCTTTGATCTTTGATTGTAATTTTGATTTATGATAACTATAAAAACAACAACAATACCAGTAATACAACTAAGCTGCTACTTTCTAATGTTTCCTTTTGATTTTATCATAGAATTCCTCCCCTTTACTTGGGAGTGTTGGAAGTCGGCGGTCACCGGATGCAGATGATCGGACAAGTCCTAATGGGGGTGGTACATGTCATCGTAATGGGACATCCGGATGTGGCAATTCCAACAATCGTGGTGGGGGAGGCTGCGATGGAGGAACAGGTGGAGATGGGGGTGGGCGATCATCGGACAATTCAGGTGGTGGAGGAGGAGGGGGTGGTGGTGGACGTACTGCTTCTGGTACAATCACAAACACTCAACACATTGTTGATCAAAGCAGCTTAGGGCGCCAAAATCATCATCATCATCATTCCCATTCACTCAGTCACATGTCACAAAATTTATCTCAGTCCAACACACCAATGTCTCGTAGTCATGGCAATGCAAGTCAGGATATGAACAGTGAAGCAGGTATATTGGAATGATAAATTATTTTGTAGTATAGCCTTATTCGACTTTCCTTATATGCATAAAATGATAACTGATGAGCAGAAAGATGCCGGTTATTTAAATTTCAAACCAATTTAATTATGATAATAATCATAACCAGTTATATGGCATAGATCAGTTCGATTACTTTCAACTGACTCAAACAATGGAATAGACTTACTGATGTTAGGTTTTGTTGCAAGACGATACACACCCAATACAGGTACTGTACAAGGGAAACTTCTGATTTGAAAAGAATAAATTTCATAAGAGGATTAGAGCATCGTAACCGTTCATTGTTCTAAGAAAGAAAGACATCAGTTTGCATTGAACTGATAGATGGTCTTTAGATTAATTTATGTTCGCGCTGATGCATTTAAAAGAGGTGCGCATATATTCACTTTTGAACATGTATGGTACCTCTTCCAAATTTAAATCAAACTGAGTTGGGTGAATTGAATCGATGATCGATTATCGATGAAGCTGTCCAAAGTAATTTTAGTTACTGGGACTGAGGTATGCAGGTGATTACAATTTTCAAACAATACACATTGATATCTCAGTTTTGTGGGTCTAACTACATATAGAAGCATATCGATATCGAAGTGTTGAAAACTGCTTGGAGCCTAGGATATGAGTGCCTTTACAGCAATATAAAGTGGATATGAATAGAAGGAGGGTTATCAGTATTAATTATCTTCATCGTCTCACTAGAAACAATGAACAACCTGCTGGTGACAGTACTAAATGAGACTTAGCCAGCCTAGAAGTCAGTCAGTCATAGCAATACTGCCTAACGGTTCACACTGACATACCCCTACATAAACATACCAAGATAGAAGGTAGTAAGATGAAAGAAAGATGTAATTAAGAGTCGTAAACAGTCACGAGAACAGAGCAAGAGGAGTTAGAACAAAAACCAAACGCTTTACGACGATTAGGATGGAGATAACGTCTGGATGCATATCCACTACTACAACCTATCTCAGGTCATATAGCATACAGTCTGTAGCCACCGACTTCGGTCTTCATGCATACCCCGACTGGGAGGTCTACATTTTCCTGATTGATTCAGATCAACAGTTCGTGACTTTATGGCTTGATACCAGGTTTTAACCAGTTGAGGTAGAATTTCAATCAAAAACTGCTCAGTGGTTAAAACAAAATCTTATGAAAATTAGATGCTTTAAAGAAATAGTTTTTCATAAAATTTACATCAATTTAAAAGTCAATAGGCAGTATTCTTCAACTGTTCACTCATTTCATTTCATTTTTTTTAAAACAACTACAATGAAAACAATAAAAATTATCATAGGTGATGGAATTGATAATTCTATTGGATCTGGTGAAAACCTTGACGAATTCGATTTAGAAGAGAAGTCGATTAAACGACAGAAAAAGCGTGGCATCTTTCCAAAAGCTGCTACAAATATTATGCGAGCTTGGCTGTTTCAACATTTGTCAGTAAGTGGAAGTGTATAAATGACGATGGATAAATGATTTTGTGTATATTATATGTACTACCATTATTGTTGTCACGCTCATTTATATATGTATCATTCAGTAACTAAATAGTCATATTGCAAATATAATCGATAAACTTTCACTAGTATGTAATACACTGCCTATTAGAACTATGTTGGCTATCATTCCGCTAACTAATTCATAAGCAGAACTCACATTTATAGAAGCTCATTCATCGATCGAATGGCAAGGGATCTCTCCGAAGTTGGTTGCCTGTCGATAGACACTAATCAATGAGTGTATACTAGTTGCTATACGCCTCCGGATACCTTTTTGATAAGTAGTGATTGGTGGAAAAAGCAACTAAATTCATATATTCTTCTTACCAGCTAATTGTACAAACTGTAGACTACTAGTAGAAATTAACTCCAGAAGAATGTTTGTGTGGTGCATTGTTCCCTAGGTAGATTGTGTTGACTTGGCATTTCAGTGAATAGAAGTCTGAGTTATGAAATGTTTACATTACTAGGGTCTCATTAACTCTACCACTACCATAACCATCAGCAAGGAATTATAGTATTATTAACCTGTTCAGCTCAGGTTAAAGTTTGAGTGTCTAAGTGCCTTATGATGACTATAATATCTTATCACACTTGACGTAAGTCTTATTCGATGGAAGAAATCCTTTAATTAGTCAAGGTTGTGCTGTGAGTTGTCACACAGTCCAGTGACATGAAATTAACACCAACAACCCTTTTACTAATTGTAAGTTTTGCAAGTTTCTACGATCAATGGAACATCAAATGCAAATTTTAAAAAAAATTGTTGATCTGAGCCATGTCTATGTAGGCAGGAATATGTTCCCTTATAAACTGGGATTAATTCATCACGATATTCACTTCTGCATAAAATCTTTTTATGTCGGTAGACAGAGTAGACGGTCTTTCTGTTCACATAAGATCTGTCAGTATTTGGATAAAAGAATTGAGCGTAGGAACGATCAGGATAGAAATAAAAATGTAAGAGATAATCGATCTATCAGTAAAGATGTCGGAGAGATGAAAGGTGTATGTATTTAGGACAAGTATACTTTGCATTTGTTTTATGGACAAAAAAATAATTGGCATGGCTAATGAAAAAGTAGCGATCAGTTCCAAAAAACATTTTCATTTTTATCGCTGTGATAATAAGGATTGGAACTATAGAAGTGAGAGATTTTGTTTTATTCTTTTATAATAAAATACGCGATGGTAATGAAACGTTAACGTAATGACTGAACAATTCAACCAGGTGTTAAGCTGCAAACCATAAGTTATTGGTCTTATCAGTGACTGATCTTTGTTCGTTGGACGCTGGTTCATTTTAACGAATGCATTTCAATCGCCCAGAACTGGTAGCTTACTAGAGATGGAAATCTACTTTTCATAAGTAGTAGTTCCCTGGAAAACTAGGAAAAAATATTCTTCTGTGAATAGAAATTGAGAAATAAGTTTAAATTTGAATATAACAAAATGTGTTTCATATAAGGGTAAAACTTGGGCACTGTGGTAGAATGTAATTCCATATAAGATTTGTTTATTTGATATATAGCGCATAGTGCTACAGCATTATTTACTTGATTACGTTTCAAGCACAAATTATTGCTCATAATCATATCATATCATATGCTCGAAACGTAATCAAGTAGATAATACTGTGTCAATGTGCGCTATATATCGAATAAACAAGTCTAATATGGAAAATATGTTTCACTTTGAATCCTTATTGGATGGAGTACAGTCCAAACAGACGATGTACGCACGCCCACGAAAAAGACTGAGACGGATTACCGACTGATCAAGTAGAAAACTCACTTTTCATCTCCATCTAAATTAAAAGTTCACTATTGCAGTGACATGGACTCCAAAAACCTGACAGATCAGCAGTAATTTTTGTAACTGAAGCTACAGGTAACTTAGTTTCTAATCTCTTAGGCAATATTAGATGTGTCGATGACAAAAGTAATTAGTGACTACAGAAATTAAACCTACGTCAAGCAAAAATTCTTTTAAATTGCCTTCAAAACATGCAATATCAAAATGATTCACTATGCAGTTACCAGCCACTGGGATAATTGATCCCAATTCATAATACTGATGATGATAGTTATATGGAGATTTATGTACTGGACATTGAGCCACACTTATTGTATAAGGACTTGTAATAATACTTGTGTGGCCACGTAAAAGTAGGTGAAACAGGATAACGTTTCGAAAACGTTATCCAGTAGGTGATACTGTTTCACTGGGTAGCATTTCTAATAAACAGACTAAAATGGAATTACAGTCTACCACAGTGCCCAGGTTTTACTCCTGCATTAGGTGAAACAAGATTGAACCATGGAATTCACTGTTTAAAAGTTAAATGCTTAGTCTATAAGGCTAAAGTTAGTACTTAGAACTGAATAATATTACACTGGTTATGCTGTGTCACCCCATGGATCGACAGATGTATTCTAGTTAGTTCAAATATTGACCTGTATGTAAAAAGACCTTTCGGGTAAAGCAAAAAGGGCATGAAGTTTGAACAATTCTATACGAAGTTTAATTAAGTTGTACTTCCTATTGGCTCAGCTGTGAACATGTATGCATACTAGTATACGTATATTCCTTGGTGGTAGTATATGGTTAAAATGTATGCATAAAAATAACTTCCAGGGAAAACCTACTCAATATAATTTATGAATTGACGGCATGTTTTTGGAAAAGTAGTAATTTATCAGTACAGCAAAGCAGCAACTATCTACAGAGGGGTTTGATTAACCTGTGGCATTAAGAACAGCCAATAAGTGATACTATTTTATCAATATACAACAGTCCCGTGATGAATATAAATATACACTGTCATAATTTGACCGACATCCCCACTGGTCACTGGTTCGAATCCAACGCTGTCCAAATCTTCATTTCACCTTCAATCATCACTCAGTATCAATACCAGTCTGTCAAACCACGGCTGTCTCAGTCAAAATGATAAATTTGACATTAAGTTCATGGTTGACATCTTTTTAACGAAACTAGTATCAAACTACTCACAAATATATAAGTAGCCTATGACTGAAACTTTTTGGACCGATTAGCTGGAATTTGCCATTGTGCTTCCAACTAACAAATTCTATGCACGTTTTGCTTTTCACTGAAAAATGCACAAAAAAAGTTTAATTTCTAGATTAACAGATGATAATTGACGCAGAAATTTCAATCTTATACTGATATTCAATAACTTTTTTGCATCACTTACAAATTCTTTCTTAAAATAGCATCCTTATCCATCTGAAGAACAGAAAAAACAGTTGGCTACAGATACTGGTTTGACAATTCTACAAGTCAACAACTGGTAAGTGTGCATGTATATAAATATTTGGAAAGTATTTCTGCTAGGATACTATTGAAATCATCCGTTTTAACTTTCTATTTACAAGCAATCAGTTCCATTGTATTGTATATTATTAACAGTGATATAGGCTATCAGGCAATAAAACAGCACTGGACAAACTGTTTTCTCACTCACTCAGGAGTAGATGCATATATTAATTCCAAGATGTCAGGAATGTTATAGGGAATATTTCCTGTGATGAATTGGTGTTGGCGAGCACCAAGTTGGGAGTTTGCTCACTGAATGCATACAAAAACTGAGATAAATAGTTGTCGTGTTCTCTTGACCGTCAAAGATTTCCGAATATCCTTGGTGTACTAGTCAGTTTACCCAGATGGTAAAGTCTCACACTACAGTTCGAATACCTAGAGAATTATCTGAACTTTAAAGGTTGTAGATGTATCTGGTTGACTGTCTCCATCCGTATAGCCCAATAAACTGTTATATATATCATGACTCATTTGATTTCACTTAACAGTTTCATAATTTAGTCAGCAGTAAGCTCCTATTTGAGTGATGAATAGCCTAATTACAAACCATAAGCGAAAGTGAATGATATTCAGCCTATGGGCATAAAACGGTGCACACCCTATTGACAACAATTGTTATGATCATATAATGACCAGAAGGGTAGAATATTATATTTCTTCCCATAATATTTATTACGATTATCTCTGCTTCCTGTTTACTTACTTGTTCTTCTCGAGGGCATGGCAACAAGCTGCAACAAACAAGGATTTTTATTTGTTTTCTAAGCATTTCCTTACTTGGAATAGGATGAAGAAGGGGGCTCTATCAAACGATGATCATAACTGATTTATTATTGAGAGAATACAAAATGTCTTTTAGCAAACAGGATAATGGTTCTTTGTATATGTGTGTGTACCTGAGTAATCCAAATAATAAACAAAACTAGGAATAATTCAGCGTAGAAACAAAGTGAAATTTTAAAGCAGAATCAATAGACGTAATTATCTTGGAATAGTCTTCTCGATACCTTTTTCACCTCCACATCAATAATTGATAAATCAATGGAATTTTCATAACCAGTTTTCACAACCGAATGATATCGGTCATAAAACTGCCAAACAGTCAGGAGACATTTCGTCCGATAATTAGATTCTTCAATAGCATATTTGACTGAATGATCTTTGAGTCGAAGTATAGCCTTAAAAATGTAGTGTTAAGTTCAAATTAGTTGATGGTACGATGCGATTAACTCTTTAATACCATGTATGTTATTTTTATCGAAGATCTCTTTGACGACTTAGATCTGTCCCGCAGATTAATCTACAGTCCAGGAAACATTGTTGAACTGATTTGTGAGGTAGCTCGGACAGCATCGATCAATAATCATCGTCATCTTGAGCTTTCATAAGGTTTGTGAGTTACTAAATTCATAGTTCTCATTGTGACACGAAAAGCAAAAAATTCAGCGAAGAGGACTTTTATTCTCAAGCTGAAGAAATAAAAGTGCTTTAGTTAAAGGTTATAATTACTGCGAAGATTAACCCAAGTAACACTGAAAATTATCAAATGTAAGAATAATAGTGACATAAGAGTGCAGAGAATAGTTTAACAAAGAGGTGAAGAAAATAATAAAGCAAACAAGACAAAATGAAGTTAAGGCCAAGATAAAAACAAAGACTGTACATACTTATTTCATTCTCAAAGGTCAGGCTTCACTTCATGAACACCCAAAGCCTCTACCCATTTTAGAGTTTGAAAACAAAGAAAACGCGGAATATTTGAATGAATTAGATAAATAACCTTAACATTATTGTTTCACTGCGATGAATGATTAGAATCCATCAAGTGCTGAAGGATAGAACTTCCAACGCACTCTATAAAAATCCGGCTGAAATGTTGACGACACTTTCGGATTACGGTCGATGAACCTTGTTACATAACAGCAGATGGACTTGTATATGCATATGGAAATATAGAGGCCAGAAACAATGTCTTCTAGTGTATATAGAGAATAACTTACTTCTGGTAAAGGTTAAATCAGGTTTAACTGCTAATAATATCCTGATTTATCTCGGAAGACTGTTTTTAAGAATGCCAGATGCTATATCACACTTAAATTTCCTCACAGATTTTAGTTTTCAAATTTCATATACGTATGAATGTACAGCTTGAAAATAGTCCTCTTCGCTGAGTTTCTTATTTTTGCTGTGAGTTACTGTTTGGAAAGTCAAGCAAGTGAGAGAAAACTGATTTAGTATAAATTCCAGAGTAACTTATCATAACTTTTGTACTGTGAGGAAACTACATAAAGGAGAATTTACTGAAACTGGTCTATTGATTTTTGGTGCAGTGAGAATACATCTCATGCTCAATAAGTAGCTTTAATACATTCATTTTTCTAAGCAAACTCGCCTTCCTGTTGTTTCAAGGAGCTATAACCACTAATGACTTGTGGTTTCGTGTAAACCACCTGTACAGTAAATTTTAAGTTTAATTTAATGTGAACTGACGTAATCAGCTCCTTAGCGAAACCGTCTTCTTTACTTAATCAAAACAATGTACCAAGAACTCAGACCCATTTGGTGTTTACATATGACTACTTAATATATATTCCACAAAAGACGGACTAGCAGCAAAGCCTTAAGCTATACATTATTATAACAGAAATATTATCGACTGAACTTATCCCCTAAAAATATCACCCGTTTATCTTTCCATTTTAAAATGAACAGTTGTGGATGTAGTCACCATCTTAAGAGATTGTTCCCAAGGTATTGCAACTACGTCAGTTCATAGTTGTGGCAGCTTGTTGTTTTTTATACATACAGTGAGATAAATGAGGAGAGAGAGAGAGAGAGAGATGAAGGAAAGTAAGATTACGTCATTTGCAATATCGAGTTTCGTCACCCCCTATTTGAAGAGAAGATTGTCAGTATCAGATATATAGGTATCTGGTTTCTGTTGTCAGTGGCTATTATTTTAATTACTATGGAAATATGCAGTAGACTATTTCAGCTCATTTCGCTCACTGGAGAATATTTTATTCATTGTGTTCGTCTAGACAGTTATATTTTTGTTAACTGCTTAGAAGCTGACTAACTTAATATGAGATTATAGAACAGTGGGAATTCTAGGGTAATAAAGTAATATTTGCATAGTAATCGCAATGAAGATAAGAATAAGTTATTATTATTTTATGCATAGGACGAAGTCAAATAGAATGCAGCCCTGGCTTGCTATATTTGAATGTGTATGAGGGTTATATTCCCTCTTCTGTGTTGATTTTTTTTGTAGTAATGGCTTTACATTCTCACTGAACTAATTTTATTACTTTGTATTACATTTATTACAGGTTTATCAATGCACGACGACGAATTGTTCAACCGATGATTGATCAGTCGAATAGAGCAGGTTAGTGTTGACTTCATTTTTTCCTTGCTTTATTTCTTTCATAAAACTTATTCAATGCATGGTGCCTGTTTACTAAATTTCACTTGCCCAAGAGTTTAAGTAATAGATATTAGTAAATCTCACCGTGTTTCTCCCAGAAGCTGGTCAAACCCACAAGCTCACTCCGAGACCCAGTTAAACAAAATAATTTGATCGACCAAGTTCTGTGTAATTACTGTGAAGTCAAGTCCATCGGTCCAATTAGCCGATCGGGGTTAGTTAGATCATGGGAATATACGAATTTAGCCAAATGCAGAATGATGGGATCAGTAATCTAGAAAAAACTCGGTTACGGGAGTGCATTCATTAATACGCACCCATACAATATGGTGGAAGGAATCTGAAGTTCAATATAATTAGATGGAGAGTCTGATTACTGAGTCTTTGTTCATCAAATCAACACCCAACACATGCAATACGAATGACGCAACACATACACCAGAGATATGGAAAATTTTATTATCGCTAAAAAGAAAAAATATGAGGTGATAGGAATATCAAAACCATATGTTGAAAACTGAGTGATTACACTAATATGATAATTTGTGCTCGAAGCGTCATCAAGTAAATAATAATGCATCACTCACTATGTGCTAAGCAAAACCAACAAATCCAATGTGGAACTATATCCTATCACAATTTTACACTTACATTAAGCTGAGCAAGTGATAGTAAGGTTTCAGTTAAATATTTATTCATAATACCTATTTTTTTTTAGCAATTTTACTGGTTTGTAAAAATAGTTTATGATAAAAGAAAGTTGGATAATCAACAAGACTCAAAGGGAGGTTTTGCTGTGTTTTCGTTTCAAGCTAAGACTAGGTTCAACTCTATCACACGAAGTGACATTGCGATTTTTTTTGGAAATCATAATGTTTTGATCATAAAGTATGATTTGATCGATACTGTTACTGATGACATTAATATAAGCAGGAATCCTGTATGCCTTACACTACTGGCCTTAGTGAACAACTGGAAGACAGTCATATCACCAAGCAGTGCTTGCCAAACACACCCAGATGAACCAAACACTGGAATGCTGTTTCAGTCGTTTGAAGTCCCGAAGTAAATTCATTCAGATACACTGGTAGTGAGTTGGGTCCTAAAAGAATCTAATAACTAGCTGATGCTGCGACTACCAAGATCTGACTGACTTGAGCTGCTTAATGGATTAGATCGGTTTCAGGTATTTGTTACTGATTCGTACATACCTTACACCATGAACTTATAATCAATACGAAATAAGTAGATAATTTTTGAAATTATATTTTGACGCTATGAAAAGGTAATTCTCTACTCACCAAATTTAACAGAGCGCGTTATGCGATTCAGCTACTCACTCTAGCTCAAGATGATGACATCAATGCGATTTTCTGGTTATTTCAATTTTCTAAAGCAGTCTTTTCCTTCCAAACTTTCGCTGAGGATTCCTTGAAATAACAGCAGTAGTATCCTTATATCCAGCTTAAAAAATTCTTTAAGTGTGTGTACTGAGGTTCCCAAGCGTGGACAGACACAAACACGCCTGTACCTTCATGTATGCATTGTAGTACAACGACATGTTAGATATCGGTTGTCACCTACTAACACTAACACCATCTGCGAAACGATGGCTATCGCAAATAATCTAATTACAAACCAGTGTGAGGCTACTCTTGTCTAATTCAGATCAACTGGGAAGGATCTTTGCAGTCAGTTTGATTACGACGAAAGAAACAGTAACGTATCTCAGATTCATATGTCACCCCGAAAAAAAATCAGGTGATTTAGGTCAATAAATGAATTACATTGGTTAACTGGTGGAGAGGCTGCTGGTTTGAATACTGCTGCTTCCCAGGTTTTCATTCCACTTTCACTTATCGCAGAGTTTGGTATACTTGTATCATTGATAATATATGATGATTGAAAGTGTAATGAGAATTTGGGCCATGACAAGATCCGAACCAACGATCACCGGGTTTCCAGCCCAGTACTCTATCAACTGAGCTAGTACATACGACTGCTGATCAGATTTTCAACTCACTTTAATCACCAAGGCTTTCGCTTGACTGCCATGCAGATTCGTGAAGCGTTATTATTGTTGGGTTGTACTCAGTTGTGCTCATTCAGAACTTCTCATAGGCATCAAAATCTACTTGAATTAGAGAGGGGTGAATGAAGTAAAATAAAAAGTTTGATCAGCAGTCGGGTCTCATAGTTCAGTTGGTAAAGTATCATTGCGGAAGCCCAAATTTTCATCCCACCCAGAATCATCACCTAGTCATAATCAATCTAATGGTTCAATACTTTTCCATCTGTATTTCGTAAAATTCCTACACTGTCCTACACCTGATATCTAAAATTATTCATGAATTTATTACAGTAATTTGATCACCAGTTAAATTTCTTTGTTAGTTAGTTTCAGGAAGGATAATAATAATAGTAGTAACAGCAGTAGTAGTGGTATATATGCGTGTCTATATTTATGACTGCGATCACTGGGGTTATTGATAGCTTACGCAAAAATGTCTCCCTCCCCTTCTGTTAACAGACAAATGAATTTGATACTCATGCTTATTACAATTGTCTAGTTACTGGCTATGAGTATGTTTCAATTACATGGCCTATATTTGTAGATACGTTTCAATGTTGTGAATGTATGTATGTATGTATGTATGTTTGTATAATATATATTTCTTAAATATGTATTGAATTTTAATAATTATCAATTAACAGGACCCCATGGTTATCCACCCGATGCTACAGGATGTTTGCCCTACATGGATAATCAACATTTCGCTGCCTACGGTCGTCCAGGTGGGTGGTATTAAATTTCCATACGTATATATAACGCAATGTATATACCTGTTTATAAATAAATGTATCAAACTGGAAAGTATTTAACTGTTAGACAAATTGTATGGACTTTTATTGGTTTGAAAAGATAATATCAGGTTAAAATACATAACGATTTATACTGGGTGATGATTGAAATGAAAATTTGGACTACGGCCGGATTCGAACCAGAGACCACTTGGTTTTCAACTTGGTGCTCTACCAGCTGAGCTACGAGACCCGGCTTCTGACCAGATTTTTATTTCACTTAGTGGTTTGTCAGTTCACAATGGTCATGGAACAATGCATATAAGCTTTACTTATTCAATGATGTAATTACGGCACGGTGAGTGGAATTAGGCCGTGGGAATACACCGTTCATGTATGTGTATAAGTATACTTCTAGCGTCTACCGAGATAATCTCTCAATGGACATATCTTTGGCAGTTTTTATTCAGTCTGTAGATTATACTGTCACATAAGAATCTTTCTTTCATTAAGGTAACTAGTTGGTTAACAGCTCTCTGTATTTATCACTAACCTATGAGACTGTAAAACAAATATAATCCATTATATTAGCTAGGAATTCGTCAACCAGGAAAGAATGAAACCAATGGAAATAGGATCGCTTATGAATGAAGTTGCATAATCAATACTAACATACTTTTCCTTTCATGTAGAATAGTGGAGCTGTAGCTCTTTGGTCAGAGGAGGTAACTTTCAGTCAGTGGGTCACGGGTTCGAAGCCCGTTCCAACTACCGAGATCTGAGAGGCCAGGTAGTATCATTAGCTATCGCTTAATAGGTGTGGCTCATTATCTACTGCATCAATTTACACAGGGTTGCTGAGTACATTTCGACTCTCGTGTAGAAAGGTTGACAGCAACTGGTGACCACATTATCCATCAATCATTTGGTTCAAATTATGCAAATTAACACATACGAATCTTCCCTTAGGTGTTTAAGTCAAAACGCAAAGATACTTCAGTTTTTCAAGTATTCTTGATTCAGTTATTGTCTGTATTTCGATTCCGTCTAAATTCTATTTAATTTGGAGTATTTCGTTGATCAACTGAGTGATCAGTTGACTGCAGGGATTATGAATAGCTCGAATAACTCTTCATGATATTGAAGATATACAAAGGTCACTTCAGAGACACCCATTTGAACTATCTAGAAATATAGATGAGTGTACTTCGTTTGGCACATTATTGGATGAGATTTTGCGCACAGCTTAATGCTCATAATCATATATATAACATAAACTAATCTAGTATGGCAGTATATTCTGCAAGGTGCCCATGTACATAACTGAAAATATTTCCAATGGAAACTGGGGGTTTCGAATAAAAGACCACAACTCCAACTCAATACTTCTTTACTTGCTCTGTTCTTCTCAATCTGTTGTTATCTTTAACGACCATGATTGTAAATTGAATGAGGAATGAATTTATTTAATTTAGGCTATTAATGTAAAAGCATTTTCTGTTAGCTAAGCTCTTTATCAATCAATATAAAGATCAACATATATTGGTACATTTGCGTGCGCATACGCACACAATGCATATGCATACATACACGGACACAAACGGTTAATCAGTTCGCCTAGGTAGCTTAACATAATGCATAAACAGGTGCGTTCTGATTCACCATAACATCAGTCACTGATGTCTACCCACTTAGAAATAGGAGTACAGTGAGAATTACTTTCGTAAATAGATAAATGTTTATTATTATTCCTGTTATTATTATTACTGCTGCTGTTATTTATTGACTTTCGATCTTCGTTTTCCATCATCGTTTTTGTCTGACTCATTGGGTGCTTTTGTCTAGCAACTTGTTTTTCTTTTTATTTAGCCTCTCATATAATAAATGATGTTGGAAGCAGGGCAAAGATATCATCAGGTGTCAAGCGGATCAATTAAAATATTGATTAATCAAGTGCATATAAAAGACGGGGGCGGGGGTGAGGTTGAGTGGCCGGGTATATGGGTGGATGGGTGTAATAGGCACCGGTTGATCACTAGTCACTTCTGAAACTGTGATGATGAGCCAGTTTCATTCATTAGGATGCCTGTAACTTGAGTCTGCCCTTTGAAAAAGCGGTACTAAGTAACTGAAATTCATAGTTATGCATTCATTTCATGAATAGTTCTGAGTAGGTCGAAATTGAGTGAAAATTCACTCAGTAGCCTTGTACACAATCATGCAGTAGGTAATAAGTCATTTCTATTTTGAAGGTTAGTGGTACTACCTGGCTGCCCAAACCTCAGTAAATGGGGGAGGGTTTGAACCCATAACTCATTGACTGATAGTAATCCTCTTAAACCACTGAGCCAAAGCGCCACCCTGAGTAGGTGTCGAATCTGAGTCTAGAGTAGTTCCAATGCTAATCTGAAACACCAGATGCATAGAAGACTATCAGGCAGTTTGTTTTTACCATTCATAACTCTGAGGAATCTTTGACCATCTACTATTTAGCTTCATGAAGGGACACAAAGACTGAAGATAGAATGTAATTTGTAATTTGGCCATAATCATACGGATTACTATTCACACTGATGTATCCACTGTATTAACCAACTATGTGATGTTTTAGTTGAAAAATAAGACTTCGGGGGGGGGGAGGGGTAAAGTAGTCCTGTATCCAGTTGTACAATTCAAGGAAGTGTGAATTTACCACATACTACTACTGATACGACTGGTATCTGATACAAGTAGGCACGGAGTGCAAATATATATGTACTTTGTATTGTTTATCCTGTTGTTTTGGCATAGAAAATATTGGGCATTTTATGTGAGAAAACGAGAAAGTATGGCGTATAGGCTTGTCGAAGTCAATCCAAGTTGGTCAGGCACTCAAATAAGTAACCGGTTACTGTTACAAATAAGTTGTAATAAATTTGAGTATCGCTTCAGTGAAACGGACTAAAATTAAACCAGTTGAGTAAATAATTTTTTGTTTAATTTTTCTCCTAAATCTTCTACTTCAGGCTTCCACCCATCGTCTCTTCGTCCTGAAGAATTTTATGCTGCTGCCGCAGCTGCAGCAGCTGGTAATACGCCAGGTGGAGATATTGATGGTCATTTAAGTTCTGGGCGTTCAAACCTTCCTGGTGGAGGATATATGCCAAGTTACTTGGGTGGCAGTGTGCCAGATTCTGATTTTCCGAATGCACACAATGTAGGAAGTTATCAACGGAGTGGATTATTTCCTAATTCTACAAATGGTGCGGTTTATCCACCCATACTTAGTGGTCATCTTCCATATGGTCCTTATTCCGCTCCATCACCAACTCCTCCATCGAATACCAGTAGTTTATCTGGAAGACAGCCAGGTCAGTTTGCTGGACAATTTGGTCTGTTTCAAAGCCAAAACAATAATTCAGAAAACAGTTATACACCATCCGAGTCTAAAATGCGTACAGCTGCTGATGTTGATAGTGTTCAAAAGGCTACATTGGCTGTAGCACAGTATGCAGCAGCACTTGCTTTACAACAGCAACAACAACAAAATCAGAAACGCAACTATCCCGCAAACACTACTGGACTGAGTCCCAACTCGAATAATTCTACACCGACCGTATCTGCAGCTGGTTACAACTCACCTAATAATAGTAGTAGTTACAGAGGTATGAGTAATGGGCATTCTATGTCTGGTCATCCAAGACCCTTATCACCATCTCATCACGGAAGTCCTGCGTCTGGACCCTGTCCGGCCTTCAATGGACCTACTGGTGTAAACAACATTCCACCGGCTCATGTACAACATCCACTGAATGCTGGTTCACCTACGTCGTTTCCGGTGTCTAATCGACATGCAAATTTAAGTTTACCACATTATGGTCACCATGCAAATCATGTGACTAATCACCATCATCATGCTGGGGGATTTTTACCTTCAGTGGGTGGTCAAGACAGTATACCCCAACCATCACTTCAAGATATACATGCCGGTTGAAAAAAAGGATAACAGCTGTATACTTCAGGAAATATTGAGACAAATGTGAGCTTACATACGTTAAGCCGTTCTGTTTAAATCTTGCCCATCTTTGTTCAATAAATTATGTTGACACATAACCCGGTGGATTCATATCCTCCTAATTGTCATCTTAATCCTCTTCTTTCTGGCCGTATAACAACTTTTCAAATTTAACTTTTTTGAATCAAAGCTGGCTCCTATTTTTATCGAGGAAGTAGATCAACAAACAAGTAAACAGATGGACAAAAGCAAGGCAGATAATGATAGAGTATTCACAGAAATGTTTACATCTCAAACTCAGTTACTCAGTGGTTTATGCACTTACATTTTAGTAGTTAGTCAACTTGACCGGCATTTTCTAGCTTGTCTATTGAAATCTGTATGTGTTATATGTAGGCAGCTCACTTCTCTATTGTTCCTTTGTCTAACTGACCTTTTTAATGGGCACCTTATACATTACTGAAAGGTAGCATTAATTTTAATTCAACTCCATTTTTTTGAGTCTTTTGGGTACCCACTGTGGTAAACAGGTGCACGTTCACAAATATGTAAGTATGCAAACGTTATTGGATGTGTTTCCACTTCTACCCCTTTCCTTACGAAAGTACACACACATACCTAACTAGTCATTTGATCTTTTGATCCTTTCCTTGCCCCTTGACACAAACAATTTTGATTTTGTTTCTTGTGAATCTGAATTATTTTTTTCTGTTGAGAGAACTCTTCTTTATCTGCTCTATTCCTGCCCGTGGTGACAATTTTAATTGCACCTTAGTAATATTCGATTTACACATATATATATATATATATATATATATATATATATATACACACTTGGTTCTTTTGTCAATAAGTCACTCATAAATTGTGTAATATGAATTAGATATGGCATGGACTTGCAGAAACTAATAGTATAGTGATCTAACAGTAGAAAACAAGGATGATAATAATAAATGACTAGTGATCATTTTGAAAGGAAACTTTTTAAAGCAGATTATCCAATTTCTAATGACATTTGTTTAGTATTACCGTCTTCTGTCCGTCAACATTTAACATAGATGTACATGTATGTTTGACAACTTGTATGTGTGTAAATGTATGAAGTATCATTGTTAGTATAACTACTAACCATTCGTGAAACAACTAGGATATATCGATGATAAAATTCGACTGTTCTTTTTTCTTTGACTCTTTGTTTTCCACAATCAATTCTTCAGTTTTTCCCTCAGACCACTTACAATCATATATATATATATATATATATATATATATATATATATATATATATATATATATATATATATATATATATATATATATATATATATATATACAGACATCTACAGAGCCTTTCTAAAATAATAGGATATGATCTCGATTTCTGCAACCATCTTCATTATTTTGGCGCGTTAATTTGTTTTAATTTACTTTCAGTTCAAAAAATTCATCATAAACTAAATTGCTTTAAAAAAATGTTATTCCTTATCCTTTCTGTGCATAAATGATGAGTTACATTGAGAAAAGCACAAATTATTACAATGAACTTTTTTGATATGTTGTCCATACTTGTCTGTAATAAATAATTACAATAATCAATGTTGATATCACTAAAATAACTGGTATAACTGTCACATTATTGACCCTTACTTCACCCCACCACCTCTAACCTAACCAGTCCATCGTTCACAAACTCCTTCTGTACACATAAACATCTAAACAGTTATGAGCACACGATGGTATCCTCCCACTTCCTTCTACTACTGCTGATATAAAATGAAAATATACAGAAAAATATGTTCCCTTGTTATTTTTATCCCTCCAGTAGTCACTGTCTTTCTATGATAAACTGGAGGTATATATTCGTTTCTTTTTTGATGAAGCAAGTGATCAATCGATTGATTGATTTATCGGTCGATTTTGTTGCCACATTTTATTTTTGTTTTATTTCCACTACTACTAATAATAATCACCACAATAAAGGCAAGACGATCAAGCATATTAAGGCACACACAGCACACATGCAAATACAAAAATGGAACTTTTTCTTCTGCATCTAAAAATAAAAGTGTGTAATAGTCGATATTTTTTCTCCTCTCATTTCTGGTGTTCATTTTGAAAATATCTGGTTATTGTAGGTTTACATTATGACAAAGAGGTAATGAGGCTTGTCTACAACTTTTAGGCAGCCGATATATATTGCACAACACTAAGGTAAGTGGTCTTACTAGTGAACTACTCGAACTGCAACTTTTCTGTGTTAATTGAATAAACACGCTTACTAGATGTTGGATAAAAACGAATGTCTGGTTATTCATTGCTAAACTTTGGCTAAATCCAGCCGACCAGATTTACAGTTTATGATCGTCTACGTTATGCACTCTGAAATTCAAGTATACCTTGTTTCATGTTGAATAATCAAACGCGAGCAATTATCAACCACGTGTAATTAAGATTCAGTTCTGTAACTGTTGACACTCGTTGACAGATCTCACTGGGCTTGTCAAGGGAACTGTCGCTTTCTTAGAAGTCGTTCGCATCCTCTGCATAAAATGATTTGTAGTGTTCGTAAGATTAGAAAAAGATTACGATACTAGAAGGACAGAATACATCAGATTCAATTTATCCAGTTAACTTATAATTTGTCTGTATTTTTGGACAAATTTTTGCTTCGGCAGCGAGGTCTACTTCCATCTCCTTACATTATCACTGTCCCCTACACCTGATTTGAGCTACTGGGTGGTAGTAGGGTGATACATAAACCTGGATTTTTCTAACTGATCATGCCTGATGATAGACAGACGGGAAAAATCAAAGTAGAATCTCGTACACAGTTCATCGGTTCAAGTTGCCACAATTCACAGTAGTATATAAAGAACAAGTACGTAAAAAAAGTGATGTCAAAATGGACAAAGTTGTGTGAGAAAATAAACAATTTGAAGGTAAAGTTTAGTGAAAATATTCAACCTTTAGACAACATCAAGCAGTGAATACATCTGCAACATCGTGACCAATTTTCAGCCATGTCACCAATAGTCCCCAGTCACTCAACCCTATAGTTTATGGAACCCCGGCCAGACAGTCTACTTAACCCATATAGCTCAGGCCAACCATCAAGGGCTTCACTGACTGGTGCCACATCTTGGTCTAGCCACCCTGAACACTCTTCTAACTGACCCAGCTTCCTGTAGCGTGGTACATGGAAGTTGGCAGTGGGTTGAGAGATGTAGTATATACCCAAGCCATTTCAACCGACTCAAGTTCACGTAGTCATTAATGGACTTGACTGTCTTGTCTAATACCCTTCGCCTGACCTTAACATTGCTCACATGTTGATTCCACCATACACGAGCAATGCTACTAAGACACTTTTGACCGAAAACCCGAAACTACTTCATGTCTTCTACTTTTAACGGTCACATCTCACAGCTGTGTGACAGGGCAGAACGGACTGCAGCGCAAAATACTTGTCCTATGATGAAGTATCGTTCTGAAGTTGAATAAATTCTAGAACACACTTTAAAGTGCTTTCTTCGGGATTGACAAACCATGCTTTGAGCAGCTGTAGTGTTTGAGGACTTTTAATGGAATCTTTCGAATTATAACCGTCTTTATCGGTTGTGAGGATACAAATGTGGACTTTTGAATTTCGACCCAGTGACCAGATATTAACCTGATAATGGCGAGTTCTCGTGACTGTTGACTCGTTGTTTAACGGGGTCATTGTTGCAAACTGCTATCAAGTCCTAAAATAGGACGATATATATAATCGAGGACAGAATCTTGTAGTCTATCAGCCCAGTAATTCTAAGCACTGTATTATAATAAATAATGTTTCCCTGACTCTTCCTTGACCTTAATCATACGATAAATGTAAGTATCCAGTGGTACTTAGTGCAAAAACTATCCGGTTATAGAAGGACCATAGACAAGTAAGCTTAGTACCTAGGAAAAGAGTGCATCAATCCAAGTTGTTACATTCGATAGCAGAATGCAAAGAGGATTTAAATAGAAAAAGAAGCGTAGTTAAGCCGACAAAGTTGTGTATGTTGAGAGGGAATAAGTAAATGAAGGTTAAAATTGTTTGAAATTTCAGGTATGATGAAGGCCTAGTAAATCTTTACCAGTATGATCGATTTTGAACTAAATCACCAGGAATCTACAAATATTTATGCCTATCGTCTTTAGGATGTCATTCAGGTAGCCTTTGCCTTCTAGAATGCCTTAGACTGTTAGTAATGGACTTCACTTATTAGTGCCACCTATTGTTATGGTGACCCTGATCTTTCTTCCAAATTAATCTTAATTATGCCGATACGGTGTGTCAAGACAGACGATAAATCGTCATACGGAACATATTTCTAAGCCCCACCAGTGAGTACAGGAACACAACTTCACTGACTGACTTACCCACTATACTAAAGACCTTACAACAAATCTGTAGATTGTGCAGTCTATGGTTGCCTCACAAACGCACTCAATCAGAACAAGTAACTTCCTAACACTTTTCATCTTCAATACTCTTCTCTCATATCTAGAAAGAGAGAGAGAAGAGTGCTACTCAGTATATTAATGCTCCAACAAGTAGCTGGATATCTGCCAGGCACCAGGAATTTTGGAGGTTGGCACCTACAAAACAACCTTTACATATTTCAGAAGTTATGTCAGTGCAGCCGATGTAAAGTTCCAAGTAAGGGCAGTTAATGCAATTTGTCATTTCATTCTCGGATCGACCATCACCACATACAACTCTTTCAGAAATACCATCAGCAGCACAGCACACAGTTAACAATGGATACAAGCAATCCCACTAAAGGAATAGTCAAGTGCTGAAAGATACAAAGTTAATGAGATCCTCGAAAGCAGCAGGACTACATGGAATTCCTCCAGAAGTGCTGAGAAAAGACGCAGAGACAACAGCGGACATGCACACACCACTGTTGCAGAAGCTTTGCAAGGAAGGGTGGAAGGAAGGAAGGTACCTGTGGATTGATTGTAAGAAGGTCTAGTTTGTCAAACTCCCAAAGAACGGTGGGTGACCTAATTATTTGCAAGAACAAGAACTGGCACGGAATCATGCTCCTCCCCTGCACACCCAAAGCAAAATATTAAGCTTCATCATTCTGGAGAGACTCAAACATGTACTGGATTCAAAATTACGACCAGAACAGGTTGGCCGGCTGACTGGCTGGTTTCAAGGAGAATAAATCATGTGTTGATCAAATTGAAAGGCTACGCTACGCATCATCATAGAGCAGAGCATAGAATGACAGTCAACTATTCACCTTAACTCAACTTCATCGACAACGTCGACCGACAAGTAATTTGGCAGGCAGCTGCTTCAACACTACGCAGTGAGTGCCAACAACTATTATCAACCTGATTCAACAAGTATCTGACGACACTACATGTCAAGTGATCCACAATGGCAAGCTCAGTGACGTCATTGAAGTGAAGACAAGATGATCTTGCTGATTGTGGTTGACTGGACTGGACTGAATTGGACTGGACTGAACTGAACTGAACTGAACTGGACTGGACTGGACTGGACTGCACTGGACTGCACTGGACTGCACTGGACTGGACTGGACTGGACTAGACTAGATTGAACTGGACTGCACTGCACTACACTGCACTGCGCTGGGTCATGCAAGGAATTGTGAGGAGCTGTGAGAATATGGGCATACGTTGGGTGGATCGATGTAAAGACCCCAGAAGAAGATTTGGATTTCGCCAACGATGATGATTTATGTGTACTGTCTAACGTGGCACAAACTTGAAGATGTACAGGTGAAA